AAAAAAAAAAAAGCAAAGAAAAATCCAGCCTTCAGATGACAATTGAGGTGTACTTCATTTCGAGTTCACCTACAAGCTCTGGATGAAACTTCTATACAGGGCACGCCCCCAAAGAAGGGCCTTAAAAACAGGGCCTCAAGATATACGTGAAGACTGAACGAAACGATTTTTCTACTAAAAAAAAACAAAACAAAACTGAGAGGTACAGAATAGGCAACACCCGTCGGCATGTCCCCTTGATCCGATAAAGTTGCCTGCTTGTGAAGAATAGTTTATATTGCAGGGTAAAACCGAATTGCTGGGAATGTTCGAATATTTCATGGAAATTATGTCCCAACAAGGAACTACAATTTTATTGCCTTTCATGAAAATTTAATCCCAATAAAAGGCTATAAATTTTGCTCTGATTCAACTTTATGTAAAGGGTTTGAATTCAAAATGGCCAAGTCATACAGGCTCTTGTACACTCCATGTACTCAGTAAGCCATTTGAAAGGGTAACCTAAACATTTTTTGGTTATGTACAGGTTGGGCATCCTGGTTACTTGTACCAAAAGCCCAGTTGTGCAACGAAAGGCTGCTAAAATAACTACTTTCAATCAATTTTTCAGTCTGTCATTTCTACTCTACACAGTACAAACAGTTTTATGGTGTTTTGGTAAATCAATTGGCAGGAACTTTTTACCAAGCAAGAACATCATAATTCAACAGGGAGCCAAGATGCATTTATAATACTGGCTTTCCATGGGACTAAGAATTAAGAGGCTGCCGCAGGTGGTTTACAAAGACATAATCAACATTTCTCGCTACACTATTAAATTTCAACAGTGAAGGTTGTTAAGATTGCAGCATAGGCGAAACAAAAATGTTGGAAAAAGTAGAGGGGCCAGAGAGTCACTTGCCACAAGGAATTATTTTTTCTTTAAGTACACTTTGTTCATGTACACCATAAGACAGCAAAATGAACCCTGGAAAGATTTTAAAACACAGCACGCTTTCCTGGTGTATAATTCTTCTCAATCAAAAAATGCTCAGCTGTGAAGCTGTAAATCACAAAATGCTTTTAATTCATCAGAAAGGTTTTTGGAATCATGAAAAGTTGCATGGACATTCACATTTGTGAATTTTGTCACGTTGACAGTTTTGATGACGTCAAATGCAAACCACCCTCTAAAAGTTGAAGTTGCAACAGGAAGTCTATGAATTTGAGAGATCAGATTGTTTCTCATTTCCTATCTCTCATCCAGGGTATGCTGACCCACTGTTGCTTTAATTCACCGATTTCCATTACTTGCACGGACACAGCAAAACGTTTTCTTTTAATGCAATACAGTAATCCGATATTGGGCTGAATAAACAAACCAACAACTCTCTGATGAACAGATAAATTATAAAAACGAGCATTTGAAACTAAATGCTTTGAGCTACACTCTAGGCAATATCAACATAAAATGATTGCTGGACTCGATATAGTGAGACTTTTCTGCATAACTCATGGGTCGTGAACTGGAACTTGAGCGAGCCAAACATCGTAAGCTGAGGTTTTCAGAGCACATGGAACAACGTAACAGGTAACTTCAGAGCACCGAACATCATAAGCTGAGGTTTATCGTTCATCAAGTTTCAGGACGGCACACTGAATTTTATTTCTCTTGCTACTATCACCTCAGCTCATCAATGAATAACAGATTGACAGGAACACAGTTGAATCATGGAGCAGTACAGATCATTACCAGTCACGGCCTTTTGTGAGAATGGACAAACAGAACAAATCGAATTGTTAGGAAAAATTGACAAAACCACACCCGCTCCTTTCTGGCACCTCTCTAATACACACATTTCCCTATTACATGTACAAACAGTTCCCCTGATTGTGGCAAAATGCCCACACATTCTCTATAGGAAAACCTCCCTCAACCCCTCATTACAGAGAAACCAGTGATATTAACTTTCAATACAAAACCAACATCTCCAAATTCCAATTCAAACATTTAAGAGGATACTGCTATTTATTTATTTATTTATTTATTTATTTATTTATAGTTTATAACTTATTGTTTGTTTTTGATACATTTCACAATAAAGCAGTTAAATAAATAAAAAGCACTCTAATTTCTTTGCATTTTAAGGTACTAATTTGTGCCGACAGTTAGCTTTTTCCCTTTTATTTTTATCTTGCAGTACTCCAAAGCTCAAGGTTTTCAGAAATTGCCTTTTGGTGACCTCACTCTATAAAATGGTCGCCCCTAAGACAAATTTGGTCGCCAAAATGTAAGCTTTTTTTTCTTTCTGTTTTTGAGTCACTTTACATGAAGCTAATACGGCTAACCAAGGCCAGCCCACATTGAAATTATGTGAAGAATGTTTTGACACTATTCCATGTAGTTTTCGTTTGCAGCTGGTTTTAATCTGTTGAACAGTCTAAACTACTGTCCAGGAAAGTAAATAAAAGAAAAAAGAAACAGGTAAGGAAGACAAATATGCAAAAATTGTAGTTGAATTCATTTGGTTTAGTGAATATACAAAAGAAAACCTTGCTGATGAGCAAGCAACCTTTTGTACTGCACCGGTCACCAAATTGGCAACCTGTTTGTTTAGTTGCCAAATGATTTTTTCACTGGCCATGGTGACTAAAATGGTCAAAGCTTGTAGTGCTATCTTGCCTGATGGGCTCAGGAATTGTTGCAAATTATGAAAACTGTGAAAACAGATCAATAATGTATGTCCATCTACTACAAAAAGAGCAGACAAATTTATGCTCTTTTCTTTTAGGTCAACTCCTCCAAATGACTATTAAGTTAAGGTGGTGGTTGGGATCCAACACACATGTAGCCAGAGAAAGCTAAGTAGTGCAATAATAAATATTTATTGTCGTGTTCCTCTGTAGGAAATATCATTGTGAAAAAGAGATCAATGGAAAAACAGGGTCTTCTCAAGCCACAAATTTAAATTAACCAACAGAACATTAATTTTGTTATTACATTATGGAACAAAGAGTTACTCAAAGAGAGCACTTATTATCCTGAGGAGCATAATAATCACATGAATGTTTAATGTGAGAATGGTCTCACTACACTCTGGTTTGTGCATTTGCTCCACCATGTGAGATCCAATCACTGCTCAAGGTGGGAGAAATAAGAACTTTTTCACATTACCACCATGCCTTACACAATGCTGATGAGCCTTGAGTAGGACAAAACTGTTTTTCACTACTAGGCTTGTGCCTACCTCAGTCTAGAGATGAGCAAATGCACAAACCTGAGTGTTGCGAGTCTCTGTTCACTACTATTTACATCATTAAAAAGCTGCTCTATCAACTAAAATGCAAGAGCATCAACACACTATACCTTTAATGCCAGTAGTTTTGTCCACAACCTCCTCTTAATAGTAGCCACCACCACTTCCATAGCCCCTATCTCCACTATAGCTTGCACCTCCATAGCCTCTGCCTCCTCCTCCTCCGAAGCCACCTCCTCCTCCATAGCCTCCTCCACCTCCTCCATACCCTCCATAGCCTCCACTGTCATAACCACCGCCTGTAAATGGAAGATATGCGTAAGTTCTTAAATCAAAGAACATGCTAAACTACAAACCAGTTAACCCTTTAAACCGCATTAGTGTCATATGGCACAAAATGTTAGAATAAGCTTAATATTTGGCCAATTCGTTTCAAATTTGGACACCAAAAGGATCTTTGAGAGATCTTCACATTGGAACCATAAAATCATACTCCCTCCTGTATCAGACTTGATTAACCAACACTCAAGTTTTTGAAACTTTCGCGCTTTACAATTTTACGGTCAAGTGAATATCTGATAAAAATCTTCACACCCAGAGCTGCAAATTACGCTATTGTTTGGGGGTATACTCAATATATACAAGGAATAAGGTATTTTTTACCGTTTTCATTTTTTCACTTTGCAGACTCCTCAATTCAATTTGCAACATCTAGTATGTCTGTTGTGGTGATTTAGGACATACCCCAAACAATACCTTTCAACTAGTATATTACTTGATAAGTTAATAAAGATGGTGAGTTTTAAGCTCGGTAATGAAATGTGAAGGTGAATTAATCAACATGACACGAGCGTGGGACAAAGAAAAAT